CGACGATGCGTGACACCCGAGCAAACGTGCCCTCGACCATGAGGCCTCGGGCGTAACTTACGTTCAAAAACTCGATGGCTCATGGGATTCCGTAATTCACACCAAGTATTGCATTTCACTACGTTCTTCATCGATGCAAAAGCCGAGATATTCGTTGCCAAGAGTCGTTTAGCTTTTCGCGAATTGGAGACGCACCCCTAAAGCACCTTTCACCGATGAGGGCGCACTCTTCGTACTCTAGTTCCTTGGTGCTTCTCATACCGGGGTTTGTTTTCGAGCTACATCAAGTGCGGATGCACCCATCCGCGACCCCAAGGGACGCGGGGGCAAGAGCCCCCTACGACCCTAGCATGCTCGACCATAAGTTTGTAGGTTGTTTTGCGGGGCATGTTTCGACAATGATCCTTCCGCAGGTTCACTTATGAAAACCTTGTTATGACTTCTCCTTCCTCTAAATGATAAGCCTCGGCGGACTTCTCGTGATGTCGTTACGATCCAAAACTTCACTCGGACCATTCAATCGATAGGAGCGATGGGAGGTGTGTACAAAGGGTAGGGACGTAGTCAACGCGAGCCGATGACTCGCGCTTACTAGGAATTCCTCGTTGAAGACCAACAATTACAATGATCTATCCCTATCATGATGAAATTTCAAAGATTACCCGGGCCTATCGACCAAGGCTATAGACTCGTTGAATACATTAGTGTAGTGTGCGTACGGCCCAGAACATCTAAGGGCATCACGGACCCGTTATTGCCTCAAACTTCCTTGGCCTCGGAAGGCCATAGTCCCTCTAAGAAGCTGGCCACGGAGGGTTACTTTCGCATAGCTAGTTAGCAGGTTGAGGTCTCGTTCGCTAACGTAATTAACCGGACAAATTGCTTCACCAACTAAGAACGACCATGCACCACCACCCATAGAATCAAGAAAGAGCTCTCAATAAACCCGTCACTCTGTCCGGTTCACTTATGGCCAAGAAAAATGGAAGTCTCCGACCTCGCATTCTAGGGCTACCAAAGGGCGAGATTCCGACATCCCTATTATTGCCCTCGAAGCTCTTACCGTGCTCGTCCCTTTTCGGCGAGCACCGATTCTCGCCCCACCCTAATTCGGGAAAAACCCTAACGTCCCAATGTGTCACTTCCACCAGCCCTCACTTACCCAAACACGCTAACCCCACTCCTTATCATGACTCCGTGATTGTCAAGGAGTGCTCGGATGATGATCACTTCGGTGAGGAGGAAGTGGATTTTTAGAATCGAAGGAGATCACGTGTCTCAATCCTAATTCTTCAATGACTCTCCACGAGCTCGATCCTTAGGAGCCGCCATTGACGCTTGCCAAACAGTTCGCTGTTGCAAGAGTGCTTTCCTATCCCTCCAGGCGCTCCAGCTGCCACTTCGCTCCCAACTCGTCAACCCCACCCTTCCTTCCCCTTCCGAGGAAGCGACGATACGTGCAAAGGCCTTCGGCAAGTGTTGGCACGAAGGCGGATGTTCATGCATTCATCACTCTTCCGACTAGCAAGTGGCAAGACTTATTTGTAAGTAATCATAACTCGGCTTTGTATCCCAAATTGTCTCATTACTCTGCTATCACCGAAACAAAACAATGTCTATTGCTCAATGATGATGCCAACTATGAATTATGGAAAACTTGTCTTGTGGGTTATGTTGTTGGTAAGAGTTCGGGTTTTCGGGCACTAAATGGCCTCATTAAGGATACTTGGAAATGTATGGCTTCCTTAACGAGTGCATGATTCCGGGTGGCTTATTTATAAATTCCAATCCCGGGTAGATAAGGAATCGAGCTCAACGGGGGACCATATTTAATTTATGGTCGTGCATTAATCTTACGACCCATGTCCGAATACTTTGATTTTTCCACCAATGAGATGTCTACTCGTGCCGGTTTGGGTCAAGCTTCCTAATTTGCCATTGAATTGCTGGTCCCCTATCGGTTTATTGAAGATTGCTAGTATGCTTGGTACGCCGATCCAATGTGACAAATTAACAACTTCCATGGATCGCCTATCCTATGCAAGAGTGCTTGGTGGAGCCGAACATAATGGATACTCTGCCTCGGATAATTAGCATATTAGTACCAAATGGCACCAAGCTTTTGCAACCGAGTGGTATACGAGACTCTCCCAATCCATTGTAAGCACCGCCATGTGCTTGGGCACTCTACAACGAATGTGCAAAGCTCGACCATCTCGGGTAGGGGTCGGGCGACCACTAATGGAAATGTTGAAGATAGCAGAATGCCTAGACCAAGTGTCTTCCGGAGGTTGGGTGATTCCGCCACCGCCGGCTTGGATGAGGCCCCGAAGTTAGTTGACCCCATGCTAATTGAAGTAGCTGATGCATCAACGAGGTGGGAGACAGCTTTATGGCGAGAAAGCACTCCCGCGAGGTAAGGGATAAAGGGAAACATGTGATGCGGGTAGTTAATACCGGTTTGGAATCACCCGGTGCAACTATCTCCATTCAACGAAAGGCCCGGGGTGGTCAATGGCACTAATTGTGATCAAGTTGGACGGCTTATTCCCAATGATGATTATGCCGGACCTCACGGTCAAGCGGATGAGTCATACCTAAATCGGAATGCAAATCGAGCCGGCTCTCCAAGCGAACCGAGGAAGGCCGAGTAGAACTTTTTAGGCGAAGGAATCATTGAAAAGGCACCGCCTCCCAATGTGGAGAATGCTATTGTCGGAGAAGCCGATAGTCTTCCCGCCTCAACCACCTTTAGGACTTCAAGTAGGTCTCCCCGATCGGACAAGGGACTCGGATTGCTCGCTACTACACTTGAGACAAGGTCAGGCTTCCGGAAAGAGGTCGGGACGAGTCGACATGGGAGTCGAAGATGATCATTTCCAATCGGAATGTCGGAGGGCTTAATAGCCCTCCGAAGCGATATGAGGTAGTCCGCCTTATGCAAAAGAAACGGGTTGATATTTGTGCTTTTGTGGAAACAAAGCTTAGCTATACAAAGCTTATCCATATGCATAAGCTTTGGCTCAAGAATTGGCACTTCCTCTCTAATGTTTTGGTTGCGGAGACAGACCCGCATAGTTCTTTTTGGAACCCTAGCACTATGAAAGTTGATCCGTTGAATGTATCCATCCAAGGTCCGCACGTTCGGCTCAATGATCTAGTGCGACGGACTTCTTTCTATGCCACGTTTATTTATGGTTTACATACCATCATCGCCGGACGTAGGTCGTGGGAGGAGCTTCGTCAATGGAAACGAGAATGGACCATGGATCCTCTTGGGGGACTTCAATTCAATCCTCTCCCAAGCCGATAAACATGGGGCGCCGCTCGTCTCCACTTATGAAATGACCGATTTCGGGACTTGTTGCTCAAACCTTAGGCTATCCGACCTCATATACACGGGGAACCACTTCACGTGGAATGGGGCGGAAGTTTGGACAAAGATTGATCATGTTTTAACTAATCCTCTTTGGTCCTCCTCGCATATGCCGACCCATGTGCATTTTGGCCCCCTAGTGCTTTTTCGGACCATGCAACTATATTGGTTGATTTGAGCATCCTTAGGCGACTCGGTACTCGTAGCTTCAAATTCTTTAACATGTGGTCGGCTCATGCGGATTTCCCCCAAATTATCACCGACGGTTGGGTAGCCGGATTTCGTGGTTCTCTTATGTTTTTTCTCTATCGAAAGTTAAAGTTATTAAAGCGACCCCTCAAGAAGTTGAACACTCTCCATTTCGACCACATCTCCCAAAGAGTGGCTCGGGCCGAATCCGAATTGGTAGATATCTAGCTAGCACTTAAACATGAGAGGGATAATTTAGATCTTGTGATGATAGAAAAAAGGCTTCGGTTAGCTTTGGTTCATCTCAAATCCTCCAAAAAGATGTTCTTTAGCCGTAAATTGAAATGTAAGTTTCGAAAGAGTGTGACAAGGGTACTAGTTTTTTTCATGGTTTGTCTGAATCGAAGCACAAGGGAAACTACATTACGGCCCTCCAAAGGACGGATGGGGGTCTTACCACCTCGGTCCAAGAAGTGGCGACGGAGTTGGTCTCTTACTATCGAACCTCTTAGGTACAGAAACGGATACGGCCCTCCTCGACCCTAATGTTGTAGCTACTTGGGCCTCGGTTATCTACCACCCACCATGACTTTCTTCTTGCGCCGGTCTTGGAGGCTATAATTAAGCGGTGCCCCGTTCAGTATAGGTAATGAGACGACCCTGAGTCCGAACGGTTATTCTTCATTTTTCTTCAAACGAGCGTGGGATATGGTTGGTAGGGATTTCGTGCCGCTATTTAGGATTTTTTTATCTCTCGGTAGTCTCTTAAAGCAAGTCGACCACTATGTGCTTACTTTAGTCCCTAAAAAGGCTAATGCTTCTTTGCCTAGTGACTTCCAGCCGATTGCTTGTTGTAATGTAATATAAAAGGTGATTTCCAAGATTATTTGCTTCAAGGCTCTCCCAAGCCCTTTTGGAGCTTGTTAGTCCCATGAAGAATGCCTTCCTTGACGGTAGGAAAATGTCCGACAATATTTGCTTAGTTCGAGAGCCGCTCCGTATGTTTGGTCGAAAGAGAGCTTCTCTACGATCTTGCTGAAAATTGACTTCCGTAAGGCCTTTAACTTTGTGCGGTGGGGTTTTCTCAAACATGTTCGCTCTTACGGTTAGGGTTTCGAACAGATTTGTTGCTTGGATAAGTGCTTGTGTTGAGTCGGCCTCATACTCCATTTCGATTAATGGGAGCATGTTTGGGTTCTTTTTGGGTGTAGTAGGAGTTACGCAAGGGATCCCTCTCTCCCTATCTCTTTGTGCTTTGTATGGAATATTTCTCACGCTTGCTCCGAGTAGCTACTGCGTCTTCTAGCTTCACCCATCACCCTAAATGTGGGAACCTAGCCATCACCCACCTTGCATTTGCCGATGATGTGCTACTCCTTAGCCGTAGAGATATAGCCTCCATTAGGATTTTATCCAACCAGCTTATCTCTCTTCAACCATACATCGAGTCCGACCATCAATGTGGCTAAGTCATCGATCTTCTTTGGAGGGGTGGGCAGCACCTAGAAAAATGCTATCCTCCGTGAAACCGGCTTTTGCAAGGACTCTTTCCCGTTTAAATACTTGGGGGTCCCTTTAAGTCTACATCGCTTGCTTGTTAGTCGGTTTGCTCCATTGTTTCACAACCTTGAAACCGCCATTCGTAGCCGGATGGGTAAACATCCGTCCTATACGGGTAGGCCGGAGTTGCTACAATCGATCCTCTATGGTATGGTTCAATTCCGGTTATCTATTTTTCCTATGCCTCGCCGGAGTTAACACTAGCATTGTCGGTATGTGCCGTAACTTTTTATGGACGGGGACGCCCGTCGAAGCTCTTCGGCCTTAGTAGCATGGAAAAGCCTCTCGCCTCCCTAAAGAACAAGGTGGGTTAGGCTCGTTAGACATTAAAGTGAAGAATCAAAGTTTTTTAGCCCAACGACTATGGGACATTCACCTCAAATCCGACTCCTCCGGATCCGATGGGTCCACCATTATTACTCGTATGATCGATGGGTTTGGGAGGTTGTTGCCCATTGAACCGATTCGCCTTTGTGGAAAGCGATGATTGCCTTGAAAGATTTCATTGTCCGTAAATATAATACCCAAGTCGCAGCTATTAGTGAACTAGCACGGTGACACTCTAAAGAGGGAAGCTTCTCCCGTGTAGCCTATGCCCATCTCTCGTCCGTAAATGAACCCGCCGAGTTGGCCCCGTGTTGTTTGGGAATCTTGGTCCATGCCGAGGAACGCATTCATCCTATGGCTAGCAACGTGAGGTGCATTAAAAATTAAGGATCGTCTTTGGTTTCTCCCTACCAACGAAACTTGCCTTCTCCGTGGCTAAGCCATCGAGTCACATGGCCATTTATTTTTTTCCCGTGATTGGTCAACAGTGCCTCCGGCTGAAAATTAAGAGTTGGCTCGAATTAGCAAAGGTATGTCAACTCTCCATAGTGCTCTCCGTGGCCTATCCAAGTAGGCGCAATAATCTTAAAGCTAGAATGAGGAGAGTTGGCCTCGGCCTCACCATTTATATGATCTAGGAAGAACGAAACATGCGAGTATTTAAGGCCGCATCAAGCTCGTTGATAAAGTTTTTCAAAAATTTCAAACCATGTTCTACATGATTTACTATTTCCATGAATCGGACCACACCCTTCGCATGTGGGATCACTTTGAATGTTGCCCTATTCGGTTTTTTGTGTGCTCAAATCTTCGTGTTTAGGCGTACCACTATTTTGATTCTTGTGGCTCCCGTTGGTCGCTCCCCGGTCGTATCATTTCCAGCTTGGGAGTTAGTCGTGTCTTGAGAGGTTAAGTCCATTTTGGATTCTCGCTCCTTTCTCGATTATGTTTCGGTCTCGTACTCTAGCAGCTCTACCTTTGCTTAGGTGTCTCTCCGTAGCCTTTGGCCGGTGGATTGGTGAGCTAGCAGGGCGGTCCTTTATTCTAAGATTTGCAGAGGGATTTGTTACCTTTGTTACTAGCTTTCCGCTTAGGTGGTTCTTACCCGATGGCTCTAGCTTCTATCACCCGCCGAGTGCTTCCGCCATGTCTTTAGGTTCGCTTAGGGGCAGTGGGGGTTTGATGTGGCTAGCGCTCCTCCGGTCTTCCTTGGCTTCCGCACTACCGCCTAGCCTCTCTCCGCCGATCTCCCCGTGTTCTTTAGGTTGGGTGCCGCCTCTTACCGAGAGGCCGCTCTTGGTTCTATCTCGCTCCCTCCGCTCGGTCACGTCCGCCGCACTTACTTGGGTAGGCCCGCTAGGCCGTTTAAACCTCCCGGTTCCATTTTTGAGTGCTACCGTATGGTCAAGCCAGCCGTCGCCGTCGCTCTTGTAAGTCCTTGATCCTCGCTATCGTCGTTAGGGCATAGTCGACGTTTGTGTGGTCGGTGCTCCTCTCGATCTTCCTTGGCTTCGCGCCGCTGTCTAGCCTCTCCTTATGGTTTTCCCTATGTAGGTTGCTTGTGGTTCCGCCTACTTCGTTCGTCGGTCACGTCCGCGCACCTTATTTGGGTAGGCCTTCTCGACCGTTAAGGCCTCCTAGTTCGTTTTCGAGTGCTCGCCGCACGATTGAGCCGAGCTCTCGCCGATGCTCCCGCAAGCCCTCGGACCTTCCGCGCTCTTAGGGTAGGCTCTGCCGCCCCTCCCGTTCTTGGTAACGGCCACCCAGTGCTACTCGTTTAGGCTGAATGTTGATCTCCGCCGTATTCATTGTTGCTTTTGTACATGGTTAGGCTTCGTTCTTTTTTGCCCTTTCAGCATTGGTTTTGTTTCGTCGCCGAGCTTTTTGTAAAGGGTCCTAGCTAGGTGCTACTTGGTTTCTATTTGGTTTTTCTTGGAATCTCTACTTCAATAATTCCTTGAGCAACCATCTAGGTATAGCTCTAGTTCAGCTTCATGGGAGCCTCGTTCCCATTTTTGTAAATCTCGTATATGTTACTCTTGCCGGTTCTCCAACTTGGTTTTACTTTGATTTATACACTTACTTTTAAATAAAAAAAAAAAAGAAAGAGCTCTCGGTAGTTAATGAGAGAGAAAGAGGAGAGGGACGCTCTCTTCTTTTCATGGAGTTCTTTCCCTCCGTATCCGACTCGCCGATGTTTGG